TGTGGCTGTAGTGTCAGCACATAAATTGTTAGACAACAAAGAATCCACAGTGGAGAGTGACCTGGTAAATGCCCCAGGAGAAAAGTCTCAGTCACATCTCACAATAAACCTAGAGAAAAAAATCCTTAGAAACCCATACCAAAGCAGAAACCAAGCTTCATTAGTTCTGGAGCTTGCTTTTCTTTGGATTTTGTTTTCCCAAAATCAGGATTTGTTCACCTGGTGTGCAATGAGCCGATCTACACACTGAGTCGAGGTATTGTTGTATTATAAAGTTGTTCAAGTTTGGGTGCTTGTCCCAAGACAGCACACCCCTTCCAAAATTCAGCGAACATTTCTACAGTATGTGTTAGCATATTTACATATTCAGTGTTATTCTTTTGGACAATTGGTTAATTTTCTCTCGCCTAGCATGTAAATTAGTTCACATGCTCAGTCTTTTGCCTCTGTCTCTTTTTTTGAGACTGAGGTACGTTTAGAGTAGGTGGTCCATGAGTTGGTGGTCGCGATCTCCTCCTGCCAGAGTTACCTATCCCCTAGTTACCCCTGTCTCTTGCTTACTTAAGATTTGTGGTATTCTTCCAATCTTGTTAACCTTTTCTCATAACAAGATGTTTTCCTTATCAGTCTTTGAAGTTCTTGCCTTGACTCCTTCTTTAGTGATTAACGGCTAGCAGAATCATTAACGCTTGCCAGATGTTTTGGGCTTACAAGGACATGTGTCCTCCTCTTGGCATATATTTTAAGGCTCTTTCGCTATCCCTTATTATCTTAAAGGCAACAAAGTCTAGTACATTTTTGTGTTTAATGCATATTTTTCCAGGATGTTCCTCTTTTAAAGACAGCTTGACAATTTAAGATGACTATCCTGGTTCCCAACATTATGTACATATTTACTTTATTTAAGTACACACAAACAGGTGTATGTATAGGCAAGCAGGTCGCTAACTTCAGCAGATTCAAGCAAACCCTTCACTTAAACCTTTAACTTTTCCATGGCCAGACCACAAACTGACAAAACTTCCTTCTTCTTAGATCAGTTACTTCTCTCCCTCTACAGAAATTAGCTCTCTAAAAGCAGTATTCTAAAGATGCAAAACTTCTAGAGTTTCATTTTCTATTCAATCTCACCAGTGTCTGCATTCTAAGCTGCAAGACATTTGGCAGGGCTAGCAGTAGCAAAACATGGGGCCACCAATTCTTTAGGCAGCAAAGATGCCTGTATTCAGGTTGGCTGCGGCTCAAGCAGTTACTTTAATTTCTCAGAAAGGTGAAGCAAGATTAGTGCTCATCAACAGGCAAAACAATGTCAAAAGCATTTTTCACACACAACAGAAGTTGTGGATTACCCTCATTGTACTTGAGATGATTCAAGACAGATGTCCATCTCTCAGCTAATGTGGTTCAGCTCCCCTTACAGTAACATCAGATAAACAAGCACTTTAGAATGCAATTAAGCTATATGTCCCATGTTGTGAGACAAACAGATGTTGAAAATGGCTATTTATCTCCATTTCCTGTAGACAAAGCCTAGGATTAGTAGCTCAGAGATGGACATCTGTTTTGCAAAAATTGGAATTCGGTCATCTCTTAGCGTAACACTGTGTTGGGTTTATGTGGTGGGATTTTGGTAGTGGTGGAGGGGCTATCAGCCCCTGTAAGAAGCTGCTAGAAGCTTCCCCAGCTCCAAGTTGGACCTCTAGCCAATCAGACCCGCCTCTGGCCAGGACTGAGCCAATCAGCACCTCTGTGAATAACATATTTAAGAAGGGACAAAGAAACCCGCAGCATATGGGATCTGCAGTGGAGAGAGGGGGGAAAGGCAGAGGTGGCTGTCTGCAATGGGCTGCAGACACCCCCATCCTTGCCTGGTGGGGTGGAGGTGGGTGTGAATGGCTGCAGCTCAGAGTGGCTTGGAGCGCGCTCTGAACCTCTCCACACTTGGAGTGCCCACTGGGCAGAACTTGTCCTAGTGGGACTGCCAGGGTTCATCAAGCTGGACAGGCCCAGCGTCACTGCAGCAGAGAGAGGAGTAAGATGTGAGAGAAACAACTACGCCGACATCAAGGTCTGTGAAGAAGGAGGGAGAAGAGGTGTGCTGGAGCAGCGATTCCGCAGCAGCCCGTGGTGAGACGGCAGGCTGTGCCCCTGCAGCCCATGGAGGTTAACGGTGGAGCAGTCCATGCCAGAGCAGGTGGCTGCACCTGCAGAAGGCCATGACTCCATGGGAGGGCTGCGCTGGAGCTGGAGATTAATGATGGACTAGTCCATGAAGACCTGTGGCCATGGAGGACCCCACACCAGAGCAGGTGGCTGCTCCCGAAGAAGGCCATGACTCCTTGGGAAAGTCTGCATTGGAGCAGTCTGTTGGTGAGGAACTGCACTCTGTGGGAGGGACCCAAGCTGCAACAGTTCATGAAGAACTGCAGCCCATGGGAAGGACTCATGTCAGAGAAGTTCATGGAGAACTGTCTCCCATGGGAAGGGATCCCATGCTGGAGCAGGTGAAGAGTCTGATGAGTCTTCCCCCTGAAGAGGAAGGAGTGGCAGAAACAACATGTGACAAACTGACTGTAACCCCCATTCCTCATCCCTCTGCACTGCTGGAGGGGAGGAGGTAGAACCAGGAAGAAAGGAGGAGTTGGGGAAAGGTGTTTTTAAAATCTGGCTTTGTTTCTCACTATCCTCTCTGATGTAATTGGTAACGAATTAAACTGATTTTTCCCCAAGTCAAGTCTGTTTTGCTCGTGACCATAACTGGTGAGTGATGTCTCCCTGTCCTTGTCTTGACCCACGAGTTTTTTGTTACATTTTCTTCTCTCTATCTCACCACGGGGGTAGGAGTGAGCAAGCAGCTGCATGGTGCTTAGTTGCTGGCTGGGATAAACCACAAAAAGTACTAACTACACACTACTTAAAGTTCAAGCACTGTGAACGGACTTCATATTCTCATAGATGAGGGACTGCTTTCTTAGTGAAAATACATAATTACGATGAACTGAAACAGTTCTAACATACAGAGCTCTGCTAATACAAGGTCTGGTCCTGAACTAGAAGTTTCTCTAAGTCATCTGAATTACTTCATACTACAATAATCATCTTTGGCTTTGTTCTGGCAGACAGTTATCAACTTCTGCCCCACGTTACACGTTGGGTCACCAAACAGCACCTTCTAAGATTTCAATTTTTAAGGAGCCAGAAATAGATACCCCAAAATTTAGGAAGTATGTCAGTTGACTTCCATAAAACTTTTCTTCTTTTTTAAAACTCAGGCTCATCAAGACGGCACATGAATAAGTACAAAACCCATGGTTTTTGAAATGTGCTTTTAATCATTCAGAGAAAATAAGCTGATTATAAAAGGACACAAAAGGCTGTGTACTTGGAAGAATACCAATTTGTGTTCTTGTTTTGTGCACAAATAAATAGAGCACGGTTAAATACAATCAGAGAACAAAGAAGATACAGTAACAGGGAAAAGCAAAGTTCAAAAGTAGTCAAGGAAGGTGAGAATGGTGCATAGTCCTTTCAGTTGAACGTTGCTAGGTTTTGTCCACTTCATTTTGATGTTCAGTTGATGGCCCTCTCGGTAAGGTTCAGAGAGCTTGTCGTGTAATTTCCTGCTGCGCTCTGCAACTCACTGGATTGTGGTCTGCTGCATTCAGTGTCTTGACAGCTGCAGCTTTCCACATATACATACTGATGTGAAATTGAATCCCCAGTGGGGCATTTCAGTTCCACTTCCTTCACACTGGTACTTGATTCCCTGCAGCAAGAACAGCTGTGCTCCATAGAATTGGCCTCAGCAGAGTATCTGTTAACATGGAAAATGGCAGTGTTACTCTGTGCCAGAAGCCACCATACAGAGGAGAGGGTGAAAATAGGTACAGAACTCCTGTGAGAAGTTTAATATAAACACAGAGTCACAGAATCATTAAGGTTGGAAAGGACCTCTATGATCATCAAGTCTAACTGTCAGCCTAATACCATCATGTCCCCTAAACCATGTCCTGAAGTGCTACATCTACACGTTTTTTGAGCACTTCCAGGCATGGTGACTCCACCACTTCCCTGGGCAACCTGTTCCAATGTTTGACCACTCTTCCAATAAAGAAATTTTTCCTAATATCTAATCTAAACCTCCCCTGGCACAACTTGAGGCCATTTCCTCTCATCCTATTGCTAGCTACCTGGGAGAAGAGACCAACACCAGCCTCGCTACAACCTCCTTTCAAGTAGCTGTAGAGAGCGCTAAGGTCTCCCCTCAGCCTCCTTTTCTCCAGGCTAAACAACCTTGGTTGCCTCAGCTGCTACTCATAAGACTTGCGCTCCAGTCCCTTCACCAGCTTCATTGCCCTTCTTTGGACACGCTCCAGCACTCAATGTCTTTCTTGTGGTGAGAGGCCCAAAACTGCACACGGCATTTGAGGTGTGGTCTCACCAGTGTCAAGTACAGGGAGACAATCACTTCCCTAGTCCTGCTGGCCACAATATTTCTGACACAAGCCAGGATGCTGTTGGCCTTCTTGACCACCTGGGCACACTGTTGGCTCATGTTCAGCCGGCTGTCAGCCAGCACTCCCAGGCCTTTTTCTGCTGTGCAGCTTTCCAGCGACCGTCCTTCAAGCCTGTAGCATTGCATGGGGTTGTGGTGATCAAAGTGCAGGACCCAGCACTTGGCCTTGTTGAACTTCATACAATTGGCCTTGGCCCATCGATCCAGCCTGTCCAGATCCCTCTGCAGAGCTTTCCTACCCTTGAGCAGATCAACACTCCCACCCAGCTGCAAACTGACTGAGGGTGCACTCAATCCCCTCATCCAGATCATTGATAAAGATATTAAGCAGAACTGGCCCCAATACTGAGTTCTGGGGAACACCACTTGTGACCGGCTGCCAACCAGATTTAACTCCATTCACCACAACTCTCTGGGCTCGGCCATTCGGCCAGTTTTTTACCCAGTGAAGAGTACACTTGTCTAAGCCATGAGCTTCTAAGCCTCACAGCTTCTCAAGGAGGATGCTGTCGGATATGGTGTCAAAGGCCTTACTGAAGTCCAAGTAGACAACCTCCACAGCCTTTCCCTCATCCACTGAGTGGGTCACCTGGTCACAGAAGCCACAGTTGTGGCTAATGAAAGTGCTAAATTCATCTGACAGAGCAGTGGTTATAACAATATGCTTTTAAAATCCATTGTGTTTGCCAAGATTGTTTTCTGGTAAAACAATTAAGTATTAAAGTCCTAGTTAAAAAAAACAAAAGTGAGTTCTAGGAGCTCAGCTTCCTTAGACTCCTCTCATCATCTCAGTGATAATAGATGTTAATTACACCAGATCAACAATTAAATTAGACAAAGCCCTGACCTGAATAAGAAAACTGCAGAGACATGAGGTTACAATGGCATCACATTAATCAACTGGCTATAAGGGCTACAACTGTATCATGTGAATCAAAGTGCTTATCCCAAAACAGGCAGTGTTAACAGGAGGGGGAAGCAGCAGCTCTTTCTGTTCGTATCTCACAGCAAAGTATTTTTGCAACCTTGTGTTCATCAGCTTCCCAAATACCAATCCTAACCTGCAGGATCTGTCAATGTCAGGCTGTGTCAAGAGCCATTTTTTTCTTGTATTTGTGTTCAGAGGCAACCACAGTGAGACTGTGATGATAAGGTATTTCAAAATACTAATAAACCCACTGGTTTATCAGGGTTCAATCTGAGATTAAAGATCAGTTTTCTCCCATATAAGGTGCCCTGTGGCATATTCAGTGATAGGCAGCAAATGTCAGGTTCTTCGGGGAGCTAAAACTATGTTTTTCCAGTGTTTTACTAGTTCAGTACCTGGTGTCCTTCTAGCCACTTTCTTATAGCTGCTTTTTTGTAGATTCTCTCATTTCAGAGAAAAATGTACAGTGAAACTACTCTACTAACACCTCCCCAAATAATTTGTTTTCTAATTTCTTTACTGCATAAAAATTGTGCATGTTTGAATCTTCCTTTAAAAGATACGTATTTCATTTTAGATGTTAATTATGGAGAAGCAGCTTTTCAGCTTATAAGAATTAGGTCTGGCTGCTCTCTGGTCCCATTCCCACTACAGGAAACAATTCATGTTCTTTTGTGATGATTTCTAGCCAAGATGGTCTGACACAAATGACAGACAAGTCAGCTCTTAAAGGATGAATAGACCTTATCATAGCTGTCTGAATCCCAAAGCAATTTAATACACTTTTCTGCTTTGTATTAAGACAAATCAACTGTTCAGTCACAGACTTCATGATTTTGTGCCCATGATTTGGGGAATTCACATTTTCAGGTCTTCTACCATTCTGTAGTCTACCTATTTATTGTTCTTTTTCTAGAAACAAGCTCAGTGCCAGCAGGTTTCAAATCTCATTGTCCTATCAGTTTACTTACATTGAGAAGGTTCCACATGATCCTTCACATTCAGTCATGACAACTCTGTCCACAGAACGGCAGCCATTGTAGACAATAAAGACTTCTCTTT